GAGATAAGCCGAACCCAATAATAGTGGGATTTTAAAGAATTATTTTCATATTGAAATAATTATATCTAAAATTTGATAATATTTCCAATACATATTTCCAATACATATTATATAAACATTTTAATTATTATAATCCCGCTAATATGAGGGTACCCATTCGACTTATCTCGAATTTTTTGCATCCACACATTTTTAATCAAATTCATATATTTACAATAACATTATTGAAAGAGTACAAAGCATTTATCTAAGTCGACAAAAATCAAAATTTGTTAAATGTAATCTTATAATACATGCATTTTATTACAAACATAGATATATACACATAAACATAGATATATAAGCTGCAATTATTAAATTAATTAATATTCTAGAATGACGGGGGATGTCCAATACCTGAAAATAATTTTTAAAACAATTAACAGATAGAGAATTAAGTATATACAGTCGTAACCACATTTTCATTAAAGTATGAGTCAATAAAATGAAGTAAATTATTTGTATAAAATTTAAATTAATTTACTTAATGTGATTTTTTAATTTAAACAATCGTATTACATATAATATTGAAGTTTTATTACCATTAAGGGACAGTATTGTTACTAGTATGATTACTAATGGAAGAACATTTAGTAGAACTAAGAAAGCGAAGACAATTGTATTTCAAAATATGCCACACTGAATTTATTTCGTAATTTGATTTTAAAATGTATAGATAATATAAATGTAATTGACTCTCATTGGCAAAATTATTATTCGCGGGAACAGCTTACAAAACCTTCCGGATTAATTCCAATCTTACAACAAGAATCTCCAATGGAACCATGCAAATAGACTTTATAAATAGATTTTACAAAAAACAACGATAAGAATAATTCTCCATTATGAAAATAATTTCATCGGTATAAACCACGCATTCACAGATAACTATCTGACGCGAGATGCAATAACGAGACCTTTGCATATAAAAAAAATTATTAATGACTTTTTAAATTTAAATTAAAATATGTTTTAAAATTATGTATGTGCCAAAATCTTTAGATCAATCAACAATTCTTATTATCATATGTTTCGTCGATTTCGTGTAATTTACATCAGTGAAGTAACAAATTGGTTTACTAAGTCAAGATAAATGCTATTAAATACAGGATATTTAAATCCGATACATATAATATATTACCTTAATAGTCTAATAAACATATAAGTTATTAGTAATAATTATATGAAAAATTACAAAAGTGATGGCGTTTATCTGGACAAAGTTCACATAAATTTTACATTGTGTATCCAATAATATAAACATTTGTTTACAATACAAATCACAATTATCACGTTAACGCGTTACATAAATTACACCTATTTTACAAAAAAATTTTATTTCGATACACCTAAAAATACAATAAAATACAAAATTAATTTAAGATCATTTCGATATTTGCTAATTGGAACAGAATGCTGATAAAATTGAATAAAATTTGAAATTTTATTCAATTTTGTCCTTCTTTCCAATTATCAAGTATTATATGATACCTATGGGTGGTTTAGTTTCACATATGATGCGCATGATGTATTATTTCATCCTTCTTTAGTATATTCGGTAAATGACAAGGATAAAATTATACATCTTGCGCATTATGTGTGAAACGAAATGGGGACTTATATTTTCCTACCTATACATAGTTTATTAATTAGAAAGAGATTTGTACTTTACCTATCCATATACCTATTGTCTTACCTACCCGTATTTTTTCGTGCCTATTCGCCTATAAATAGACGGGATAACCTGAGCGCGATACTAAACGAATAAGAAAAGAACAAATAAGAAATTTAAGAAATCGCAATTTAGATTGCGAGCAATTTTGCCCTCCCGAAAGTCACCCTCCCAAATATCAAGAGATACGATAGCGTCTCGACGCTAAGACATTTACTTACATATTTACCTTTATAACCTTGATTGGTGTTACACACCAACCTACCTTGTATAGATCCTCTTCTTTCTTCTGGCCGAATTGAACCCACCTTTTTGATGATCTCGGCCAATAGTTTCTGGCTTCGAATGCCAGAATCGACATAAAAGAATGAAACTTCTTTTTACCTGTTGACTATCGTCAACGACAATAAGCGTAAAATTTTTACGCTTTTATTTGATGCGCGAAACACGGACGCGTCGCGAAGAGCCATCATATTAATGAAATTATAATTATACTAAACGAAAATAAATTGTTAACAATATACTATAATACGATTCAATTTTGCATCTATTCTTTATTCGCGTTTCTGTGTAACTAAAATTGCATCTATATTTATTAAAATATATATTTATCCTATTAAAAATAAATGCAAATTAAAAAAAATCTTTATATTGAAGCTCTGATTATGATTAAAAAAAATTGTGAAAATATTATGAAATTTAGATTTATTTTTGACCTAAAATTTATAAAACGAAAATAAAATATTAATTTAAAAATAAATAAAGAAAAATTATTTAATGAATTACTATCTGATACAATCTAAGGCTCATTTTCATCGATTCGAGCGATTCGTTACTGAATTTCATCTCAAAAGCATGCGGAGATGAAAAATTCAGAAAAATGACGTAAGATTCGATAAGGATGATAAATTTCCCTCAATAGTGTCAATATAAATACTTTTTTTTAGTAATTATAATTTATTATAATTATTTTTTTATATAATAATTAATTCGAAATCAAGTGACGCAAATTTTATTACAGTTTTAAAACAGTTATTAAGTAAAATTCTTATTTTATTTTATAATGCGACGTAAATTGAATCTGACGTCATATTACTACTTTAACTGGTATAAGTTACCAATTACTACATATGGATAAGTTATAAAAGTTTAGGCTAAAGTTAGTGCGGTAAGATAAATAATAATAATAATTAGAAATCAAAACGATTTATATCAAAAAGCAAAATGAATTATATGAAATATATACTGCTCAATATTAAAACGTTTTATTATTTCACAAAACGCACGACTATGTGTGAATTATGAAGCAATAGATAAAATTACTTAGAGAACAAAATCTTTTTATATGCAATTGCTTTTTCGCACTAATTTTTACAAAACTTAATCTTAGATAATTGTTTGGAATAGGATAGATGGGTAAAGTAATAAAATAACATTTGTAAAACACTCCAATTCAATTTTCATGATTGAGATAATTCAAGCATCACAATTTTTATTAATATAGGAAATAACTTTAACCATTTTTTTATATTTCCTTTTTATTTTATTAGATTTTTATTTAAAATATATAAAATATATATAAATATTTTTTATTCTCTCTATTTCTCTCAATCTTAATTAATTTAATGTATATTCATCTCCCCGTTTTTATCTATATTTTATTAATATACATTTTCTATTTTTTTATTATATTTATGTTACTATTTTCTATCATTCTATTTTTTGTATTCTAAGATTTTCTTTACTTTTTTTTCTATTTAATCATATAAGAGAATACCATGAGTCAATTTAAATAACAACTGTAAAAAAATGAACATATTTTAATCTTTTATAGCTTTATTTAATCTCTTAACTTACGTATAATTATATGTTCATAATTTTAAAAAAATATATGATTGTATATTTTCAACTAATAAACGTTAAAATTCAATCAATTTTTATGTATAATACTTAGATTCAATATTAATAAAAAAATATTATATGATCACAATATAAGAGTGAATAAATAATCTATTATATCCTCATGGTATTCCTAATTTCTTGAAAAATTTCGCCTTCATACAAAATTTATATGCATTCGAACATATTCGTATGCACATAAATTATACGCACAATTATATTCAACAATAAAGAAGCATCCAAGATTAAGTTGATCCTAATCTGTTAAAACTTATCCATTTTAAGGCAATGGATGTATGGAATATTAAGTTCTCAACTATTAAATTTGTATATTACTATTATTAAATTGATATATGCTTGTGTATCTAAGTATAAATAATATATTGATAAAATTACCATACATCCATTACCTCAATAAGAACATTGATTTATCACTCACCGATCCGATGCGCAACAGCAGAGTTACATCTGCAACGTCGCTACGATGATTCTGTAACAAAAAAATATATAATCCAAATTAAAACATAATTATAAATTTTATAAAAGGATCTTAAGAACATTATTATAAAATTTCTCAAATTTTAAAGCAATCCTTTTTTTTAATTAAATACTAGTATTTTTAAATTATTGTAAAGTAAAATAATTGAAGAATAAATTGAGCAGAGATATCGATTTTACACAAGTAAAAAATAATATTTACCGCAAGGTTGCTCCACCGGTGCCTGATGCCTCTCCCGGTCCTCCTCCTCCTCTCAGATTTGGGTTGACATCCTCTCGCACTGGTCACTCGCGTAAAACACTCGCGAATAGTACACTATAATCGCGCGCGGACTATAATTTTTTCAAAGTCTTTCGCGCGACACTGTCGTTTTCCGGGTTTACAAAACCCACGATAGGATTTCCATTTCGGTCGGTGGAATCAACACCACACGTCGACGAGTACTGCGAAACACACGGTTGTTGCCGAACAAGGGTTAAGCCCCACACGATAGAAGACGTAATCGATCGTATCGAGTTCATCACCTCTGATTTAAACAAAATCACGTTTAAAATTGACTCAGCCATACGCCCTAACTATCATTTCGTCGTGGACACAAAAGGTGCTGTACCTCGTGTGATAACACTCGGCTAGTAGACGTGACGAGCGCCTCTTGATTTATATCAAGATTAATTGATGACAAGAGAAAAGTTGGTACCGATTGCCGATTCTAACAATCTAGACAGTATCGGAAATAGGATCCAACCCCTCGTCCCGAGCAGACCATAAAGATCAACAGCTAGGTTCTGACCAAGTCAGATTAAAGCGATTCAAACGGATATAAAGCAGAGAAATGAGCGCTTTTGGGCGACCCAGAGATGAACCCGAGGGACAATCGATCGCTTCTACCGCTAAGGGCCGAACCGTTTGCCGGCAGACGGAGCGTGTCCTCTATCAGTCGAAACCGCGCGAACACAGCACCCTGTGCGAAGTGCGTGACATGTACGCGGCCGACATCACCTCGTGCTCGGGCACTCGGCATGAGAGTTGCAATGACCACCAATGGTGGCCACACGTGCAGCAACGTCTCAAAGAGAGTTCCGTTTCCTGTCTTACTGTTGTAGATGTGATTCCATCGACCGTCGAAACGGATCTCCATCGAATGGGTATTGTGAAAAGTCCAATTAGTCCGATAATCATTTCAACGGCACTCCCGAACGGCACACGCGACGCGACGAACCGGCTGCGGTTCGTTTATATTGAATTAAATCGGCGACGAGGGTACGTTGGCTTCCCCGTCGTTGGATTTTTACACGAAGAAAACGATTTTACTCAAGTATCTAAAAATTTATCTAGATATGTATCACTCAGGTAGATCCGAAAATTTTGAGATACTTTAGGAAAATCGTTTTACTTCCTCGTGTACATCCTCGGGGTACTGAGCCCTCTCACCACGTCAAGGTCGTACCCGTGAGAGGGAAGATATCAATTATAAAATGTACAATATATATACCTACTATTATCATAAATTACTGTTAGACAATTAACTTGAAAGTTGAATCTCTTATTATAACATCTGCGTAAGATACGATTAGAGTCAATCGAATGGGCCTTTTTATAAAAAAGGGTAATATATTTCTTTCATTGTCTACATATATCGCGAAAGATGCATATAAAAAAGCGAAAAATTAATTAAATTATTAATTACACAAACTGTATTAGTTGTGATAGTAGTAACCACGTGCATGAATTGCGTTATTTCTATCAGAGTATTAATTATTAACGACACTTTCTTATAACTCGCGTGATACCGTTCGAAGTATGTAAATTCAGAGTTACATTCAAGTAAGAGAAAAATTTTATATTAAACGAAAATAATTGTCATTCATCATTATCGCGGTATAGTAATACATTCTTTGCCCCATAGCATTTTGATTCTAAATAAATGAATTGTACGAAATATCCATTCTATGATACACGATTGTTATCTCGATCCTTTTATGAATATGAATGATTGTACGAGCTACGTAATAATCGCATAATGTAAGTATTTATAATGTACAAATGTTTCGTATTATCTAGCATTCATCGCAAAAACGTTTTAAAAAGAAATATGAAAAAGAGGAGCGGGCACGATTAACTACTTGCTCCTACGAGCCTCGGCAGTTAAATGACTGTGAGCCTTGCAGTGTATGTAAGGAGACAGGGTCACGGCGGATAAACATGACGCGTCGTTCTTCCGCGTTGAAACAAACCCCTTCCCCTCAAGGCACTTTCCAACCGTCTAACTGTCGAAAAATTAACACATATTACGATTAAATCAGGAAAATAATACATAATTGATATTTTTAATAAACTTTCCGATGAATAGGCTTTATTGCACGATTATTGTTTTATTTCTTAGATTCGTTATACGTGCACACATAGTTTACGAATATCTTACAATTAGATATTTGAATTGTGCTACAATAAGCAATTATTAATTTGTAATAATATTTTATTACACGAAATCCGCGCAATGTACATAATATTATTAATAAAAGATTAACAAAGATGTTCCTCGATGTACCATGATATATCACATAAAACTCGCGATGTTTTACATTATAAACTAAACTAAGTTTTGAGAAAATCAATATAAGAAATTGTTTCATTAATTCCATGACAAAAAATACTAATTGAATTTTACTTCATTCCACGTAATTTAAAGTTACATGATCGATATACTAATGTACAGGGAACTTGGTCACGTATATAAAAAAATGAAGTTTCTTAATATATAAAAAAGATAAAAAAGTTATTCACACACACACACACACACAGTATTTATTATTTTAAATAAATTTTCAGAAGTTATTTTATATTTTAAATAAATCGCATTAGTTAAGAGTCGGTTATATTTAAAATAATTTTATTAAAAACTTATATTTTAAATAAAAAAAGATTAAACAGTTTAGCTTTCAGCATTTAATATTTAAAAAAACTCTGATTTATTTCTTATTTAATATCTGAAGTACGCGACGTATCGTATCATCTAGTATTTGTCGCAAATATATTTCAAAAAGAAATATAAAGAAGAGCGGCACGTGGTTACCTACTGTACTGTACGAGCCTCGGTAATGGAATGACTGCGCGTAAACATGACGCGCTAACCGCTCACCGCGCCCGACCGCCATCAAAACAAACTTCAAGGCTGTGCGGTAATCGTTTAAATAATAACGTATATTACAAAATAGATAAAATAATTTAGTCGTTACATTTTTAAAATTCTCCGATGAATAGATTTACTTTATTGCATGGTTTTTATTTTATTTCTTAGATTCGTTTTGCACAAAATTCATCTATGGATATCTTACAAGTTAGATATTTAATTGTGTTACAATATCAAGCGATTATTAGTTCTTAAATTATTAAAACATAATTATTAAAACGTTGATATCTGTATTTAATTACAGAATGAAATTTACAAAGAATTCTAAATTAAATACTCCCTAAAATTTAAATAACCCATTGTGTTATATTTTATATGAAAAATTGGAATCCTATACTGTAATTATATATACCTATATAAAATATACTTTTTAAATTTTATTTTATACTAATATTGATTTTTAATTCTAATGCATAATTTGTCTTAATTTAAAGATTTGATTAAAGATTGTAACGAGACTGTATGGATTACGAAACACTGATTATTTTTAGTGAATAACGATCCTCGCACTTGCCTTTTGGAGACATCGTCATCATTGTTAAGTAAATCTCGCGTAGAACACACGGTGCGTAGAACGTAAGGGCGATAAGTAACGAGGTAAGTTAAGTTTGTGCCAGTCGTTGATTTAACGCCCGCATTTCCGTGGAGGCCCTCGACGGGGCGATCGCGAAACGAATAATTCTCGCCACGAGGACGAACGTTTGTCATTATTATCGAGGTGGACCTTTAATACGCACCGCCTCGCGCGAGAATGAAAGCCAAAGACGAGAGGCGTGCGCGGTGAAACAACCGAGCGGGAACCCCTGGAGCTATGGGTCCCATGGGCTCGATGCGGCCTTGGTGAGAAAAGGAATGCAAATGAAATCGAAGATGCGAGATATTCCGGGTCCCTCTAATGCGCCTCGATGAATTCGAACACGAAAACACATATCACGAAGACTCGTCAGTATGAATCCATTACCCAATCTTCCAGAGCTGATGTCAAAATCTGTATCGTAGTTACTGATGCCGGATTTAATTTATATTGTAATTATAAGGCATTAATTATTGTGTTAAAAAAAAACAAAATGATGTAACTCATTTAAAAAAAGAATGAATATATTTTAATAAGATAAATAATGTAAAGATTAAATTGATGATTGACATTTTTGACAAAGAGACCTATATGGCTTAAGAAAAAACTATCGTCAGTTCTCGGGAGGGTTTAAAGGTTATAATTATTATTAATGTGATAATAATGATAATACTCAGACTTTATTATATAAATCATAGATCCAATTTCCGAATATCTAGAATTTTAATTATTATATAAATATAATAATTATTTATTATTCTCGGCTATTATTCTCAATAAGTTCTCAATAAGTCGGCGATACGAGGAAGACGATGCGTGGGCACGCGTTGATTATACTCGATCGCGATTAGATCGGCATCACGTAATCCGTTTCGAGGATTCGTCGCAAGTCGAATCATTTCCAAGGTAGACCGGATGATAGTCGTGGCCGGCCATCGCTTTGCGAGCGAAGGTAAAAGTGAAGACGGTGGAGCGTTGATGTTTCAGCCACTGCCGGGTGGGAAAGTGCCGTCGAACGAGGTTGTTTCAGCGCGCTTTGAAGAATCTTGCGAGTGTCCTGTTTCGCGATCTTCCAAGAACACCTTGCGCCACGCCTCGTGCCGCGCGCCTCGCTATTGCAAATTGCGATACGATGTGTCTTGCCCGGGTTTTGTGCGCAAGGACGACTTTGCTTCTGACTTCTCTGCGCGATTTCGTTTCGCGATTATCACTTAAAATTGAATAGCTTATATACATACGAATAAAAGTTACCTTCACTTGAAATTTCTTTTTCCAAGAGCAAAAATCTTGTATAAATTTACACATTCAAGTTATCGATAAAATCTTTTTCTTTTTCCTTTAAATTAGTATTATAAATTTCATTGGTTTAGATAACAAAACTTTCACAATTTGGCGCGTGAGAAATTCTATTTATTGAAATAGAACACTCTATCTTTCTCTCTTTCAGCACTGCTAGATATCAAAGGAACGGTAGGAAACCTAATCCCATGAGTGTGAAAAAATATTTTGTTATTTTTAACTTCTATGTGTACTTATAAAAATTTAAATTAATCCATTACCATAGTTATTTAGTTTTAGAGCAAACATCCGTATATGCACTTAAGAAATATAATAAACCAAATTTAATACATTTTCTTAGGTTAAATTGTTTAACTCTATTGTTTGAGTTAAATTAACGTGGCGAGAAAATGATTAAAAATATATACTGGGTATAATTTATTAAAATTATGAATTTAAGAGTGTGATTTTGCAGCTGAAGAAAAGGATTTTAATAAAGTATCTGTCATTTTTTAATTTTTTTATGACTGGTGAGTGTATCTTTATATACAACAGGAATTTAAGGATTTAATTTCTTTTGCATTTTGTTCCCTTCAATCAGTACAGAATTACCTTTTTTTTTTTGCGATTAGATCCATTTTTTCTCTAAGGTTTATAGCTATAATATTGTAGCACATCTTAAAATGTTTAATTCGTAATTAAGAAGTCCGGAACTTAGGAATTTTAATCTAATTTTTAAATATTTTTAGATAGTTTCTTTTTCATATCGATTATTTAATTAAAATAACTGTTAAATGATAATCGCATTCCAGGAATTGTGCGTTCTCGCAACTTTTCGGGCATCGGATACAACTATTGTAATAGACGGGCTGTAATGTTTCATCCGCTTTCGAATTGTTTGTCAGTGGAAAAATGGACCATAAAACGATAATAATATTCGCGCATGCGAACACGGGCGCGTAACCTCTCCGAGTTTATTACAAATGCATACACGCAACATTACTAATTAATGTATCGCGGTTAAGATCCGCGTTGATAGTGATGCAACATTTTAGAAAATTCTCGCAGGTGCGTAAATTTTGCTTCTATGGATTATAATAGGA